CGCAATTGCGAGTCTTTCTTCGCAATTGCGAGGGTTTCAATTGCGAAACCAGTGTCGCAATTATGAATCCAGCATCACAATTGCGACATCTGAAACTGAAAAAAGGGTTGGAAAGTCGGGATTTCATCTCATTTCTCTTATTTTAGAATCCTAGACTCGGTAGGAGGCGACTTGGAGAGGAGATTTTCACCTACAATCATTGGGTAAGTAGTTTTAATCATTTTTCAACTATATTTCATGATTACATATGAGATGTGACATGAAATTTATGAGAATCAAAGAGAATTTTTGTCTAAGTTTTGAAAAATAAAAATTTGGGATTTGAGAGTCGAATTGGACTCGGATTTGAAAACAAAACACATATATAGACTCGCGGACTCGGGTTTTGACCGGGTGGGCCTGGGATTAACTTTTGTTGACTTTTGGAAAATTGTGCGAAAATCATAGCTTTATTAATCGTAATTGGTTTCTCTTACATTGTTTGATAATATAAAGTCATTTTTGTTAGATTTGAGCCGCGAATGCGAATTTTAGGGGAAAAGTTATTTTGAGGGTTGATTTGGCTTGCTTGAGGTAAGTAACACATCTAAACTTGGATTTTAGATTATTTAACCATGAGAACTACGTTACATGAAAGATATTGGGGTGACGTGCGTGTGTACGTGCACCAGTGTGTTCATAGTTTGGGAAGGTCTTTAGTCTATTACCGAGCTTGTTTTGTTATCATGCCTTGTTATACCCGCGTTTTCCCTGCTTGTTTGATTACTTGGACTGTGATTCATATTAGACATCATATTTAGGCTAAGTGTTATTTGTTTGAGACTTGATAGGGCTATTCTTGTTGTTTCTGAGCTATACGCCTTATTTATATACATATTCTCAGTCATGATGCTATATCCGTATGATATCTCTGTCTCAGTACTTCTTATTTGATTCCTCACATGTTGTTGATGTCTCGTATATGTAACACTGTTAAACTGAATACTGTGAGATGTGTTGACTGAAACTTGATCGGTAAGTGACTAAGATTGGACCATAAAGACGATTTTGTATTGATTTTGAGGTGACGCGTACGCTATGTCCGTATTGGGCTAAGTGTTATTGTTTTGGGTCGACGCGTACACCAGGCCATACTATTGGGCTAAATAATTATGATTTGTGGTTGGGCATGATCCACCCCTCTGGAGTCTGACATGCCAGTAGTAGGCGCATGCACATTATGTTATCTACGTGCTTGATGATGAGCAAATATGCCAGACACTTGTACAGTGCTAAGTGTGAATATTTTGATGGATCTTATGTGATATCATTAATTTGACATGTATACTTGACATGTAGGCATAAAGACATACTTTCCTCACGCTAGCTGGTAACTGAAATACTTTATCGGTGTTAGCTTTAACTGTTATACTAGAAAGCATGCCTAAATTCCTGAAATGTGAATAAGTTGAACATAATATCATCGAGCTACTTTCTATTGTTTTCCCTTTATATTCTAAACTGTTACTCCTCCTGTTTCAATTTAGATGACACACTTTCCTTATTAGTCCGTTCCAAAAAGAATGACACATTTCTACAATTGGAAATAATTCAACTTTAAACTCTTCATTTTACCCATCTTACCCTTAATGAGAATCTTTTATAACCACACAAATGTCATCATCCCATAAAACTTTTACCCTTTAAGCTTTTAAGATCACACCTTTCAAAAGTCTTATTTTTGTTCTTAAACTCCGTGCCGAGTCAAACTACCTCATCAAAATTAAAACGGAGGGAGTACTAGTTATTGATGTTGGCATCTGTCTATTGATTCTGAGCTCGTCACTACGTTCAACTCAAGGTTAGTGTTGTTACTTATTGAGTACATGGGTCGGTTGTACTCATACTATACTCTACACTTCGTGTATAGATCCATGTACATTCGGTCGAGGCGATTTCCATTGTTGAGTTTCTATTAGCTTTTGGGAGACTACAAAGTAGCTGCTATATCGTCCGCAGTCCTTGAAGTTCTCTTTTAGTTATTTCTATCTTTATTGTTCTATTGTTCAGACAGTTGTATTAGAGGATTTTGCTTGTATCTTGTTATACAATAGTGTTCGTGTACTCGTTGACACCAAATTTTGGGGATGGTTGTAGTAGTATTATGGTTATATTCTCATGTATTTCATGATATTTGTCCTCTGATGAGTTATTAAACCATGTTTATTGATTTCATTATTATTTTGAGGATGTTGGCTTATCTAGCGAGTTGGGTTAAGTGACATCACGACTAGTGAATTTTGGGTCGTGACAAAAGCATTGATATAACAAGGAAGCATTTATATCAATTTATAAGTTAAAGTGCAAGGAGATGAACCAATAATGTAAAACATATTTCAAAATCATCTCCTTTAGCATTTAAGTTCAACCAAAATCATGTGAGGTTTTACCTTCGGAAGCACTATACAGATATCAGCATAATAGAAATAACACTAGGTGATCAACCTAGCCACAATTATTTGATCCTACTTGCCCGGGTGCCTTCCCGTAGTACTGTGCGAGTCGACTTGACCTCATTACATTTAATAATGATCATTTTCCTACAAATTAGGAGACTTTATCCTACAAACCTCGACTTAACCTTGGAATGTGTCACTACACCGGTACATGTAGTTCCATGGTAATGAATTCAAAATTCGAATCAATCTTGGTGGTCTCCACTAGTAACTCCCAAAATATTTGACTTTTCTAAAATAAAATGATAGCTTATAAGCCTAAAAGAAATCTACTTCAAATCAAATTATAGTGTTCATAACTGATCTATCCATTTGAACAAAAATCAAATGAAAACCTTCTTCAATTTCATGTTAAAAGAAATTAACAAAATGAGAATTTATCTTTTAGTTCAACAAGTGTCACTCCAACATGTAAAGAAATTAACAAAATAGTGTAATCCCAACCTGCTCGTCCCCACAAGTTAGGATCTACAACTACCCACTTTTAGAATTAGATATGAAAAATGTAATTTTTTTTGTTAGTTAAACATATGTAAAGGAGGGGGATAATCAATCTGTTTTTTTGTCCATAAACCCCCTCCTCATCCATATATATTATGTTTACAGTATGTATTGTAATTGGAGGTTATAAGCCCCCCTCCAAACTTGATTTTACTGGAAGTGAAATATATCCCAACCCAGATATTGATAGACAGTTTATTAAAAAAAAGTATCCAATGTCTTTAACCAATCACAATCTATACAATTATATCCAACATGAGTCAAGATTTGCTCAACAATACCTAACAATACCAATTTAAGCCTTTACTCTTGATCCATTCTTAACAGTCTCATTTATAGTACTTAATAGTGTAGTTAGGATTATAAATAATCTATATTTAATGCCCAAGTTACTATTCATGTCTTCCTCAATCACCAACCATTAAAATCCAACTAGGGTTTCATAATTTCTCACATTCAACTACTTCTTAATATCATGAATATCACATATACACTTATTTATATCTCATAAATTAGAGTGGAGTAGAAGAATTTACTTTTTGAAGGAAACCTTAGAAAATCCCTTCTTTGGTGTTCTTGGTGATTCTTCAAGATTCAAGTGAATTCATATGGATTAGATCCATAAATGTTTTAGTTCTAATATACAATGGTATTATAACATCATAGATGTATCAAAAAATCATACCTTGAAGTGTATTAGATACGGGCTTGTCCCTTTCTCTCTCTGAAATATCAAAGCTTCAAAAACCTTCCTCAAATTCTCTCTTTGTGTCTCCTTCTATTTATATAAAATGGGGTGTGTAGGAGCTGTGCGTAGCTACGCACCTGAAGTTCCTCTCTTTTTTCATCTGGTTTCAGCTACGCATGCCAGCGTAGCTGCCCACCCTAGCTACGCACATCTAAAGCTTCTCCTTTTCCTTTTCTTTTCTTCTTGGTTTTAGTTACGCATGCCAGCATAGCTACACATTCTAGTTACCCCTCGCTACAAGAATTCTCTTCCTCCTTTATTTGCTAAACCCTCCAAGTCATGCATTTAGCCACTCAACTAGGGATCTCCAACACTTATGACCTTATGCTCAAGTATCCCAATGGCCCCACTACCCTCGCATGGGTCTGTTTGTACATCGAGGTCTTACTAATTATTCTCTTAAGCTTGAATTAGGCTTAATCGTACTAGAAAACTTCTAGGCTTTATACTCTGCTATCTTGAGAGTAAGATATGCTAGATTATATGTTGAGTTGCCACTTGACTACCCAGTGATACCCTTTATCTTTAGTGGCCAACACAAATTAAAATTTGTATGAAGGATTTTTTTTTTATGAGTTTCTTCTAAATCAAACTACCCATGATAAATCAAAACAGAATGATTGCAATCCCAATCAAGTAATTTATAAGTGGGCCCAAAATATATATACACAATGTAAATTGCACATTTAAGTAAACAATCAAAATACAGCGGTGGGACTCCAATATAGAGAGAAAATGACAAAATAAATAACTATAAGCCAACCATCTAAAATTTTAAGGTAAAAGAGTTCCTGACCCAATGATCCCTTATATTTGGTGGAAGATTTAAAATGATCACTTAAATATAATTTTGAGTAGTTTTAATTCTTTAAGTTTGACAAACGTAATATTTTTGGTCTACATCAAATATTTAAAATGTTCTGATTGCTATATTTAACGAAAATTGTGAGAAAGAAAGAGATTTAATATGAATTCACATTTCAAGGTGTAACTTTTTCAGTTTTTGATAAATTTGATTTATTTTTGTAGTTTGGTGCAATTTTTTCGAGGTATAATTTTTGATATTTTAAAATTATTTTTGATGCTTGGTGAAATTCTTGATGTTGCTATTTTTCAGATTCGACGGAATTTATTAGTGTTTCGGTTAATTTCTTTTTTCCACAGTTCCCGTTAAATCTAAATGCTATACTTGATCAAGACCAAATGTACATACTTTAAAAACTTATTAGAGAATCAAATAGGAGTATATTTTAAACTTTATCTCAAACCTAAGGACCATTACTGTCGTTTTCTCCCAAAGAAACATCAGCTGTTTTCTTTCAGGGAGGGCGGGCTGCCAGAATTGATTTTATACTTCAGAGAGGGGTTTAAGCCTAAACCCTAAAACAAGCTGAGATGGAATCTTCTTCTCCGACTGCAGGGAAAAGAAAGCAACCGGAGGAGAACTCCGACGTGAACTCAGTCCAGAAGCTAAATTCATCATCCTCAAAGAGAGTCACTTTAGCTCGAACCTGCGTCCACGAGGTAGCAGTTCCAACTAATTACACTTCAGCCAACGACGAAACAATCCATGGAACCCTCTCAAATCCTTCGTATAATGGAGAAATGGCAAAAACCTACCCGTTTAAGCTCGACCCATTTCAGGAAGTATCCGTCGCGTGCTTGGAACGTAAAGAATCAGTCCTCGTATCCGCACATACCTCCGCTGGGAAAACAGCTGTCGCCGAGTACGCAATCGCAATGGCATTTAGGGATAAGCAAAGGGTTATTTACACTTCACCTTTAAAAGCTTTGAGCAATCAGAAGTACAGGGAGTTAAGCCACGAGTTTTCTGATGTTGGTTTAATGACGGGTGACGTCACGCTTTCGCCAAATGCAAGTTGTTTGGTGATGACAACGGAGATTTTAAGGGGTATGCTTTATAGAGGTTCTGAGGTAATAAAGGAAGTAGCTTGGGTTATATTTGATGAGATACATTATATGAAAGATCGCGAAAGAGGGGTAGTTTGGGAAGAGAGTATTATATTCTTGCCACCGGCTATTAAGATGGTGTTCCTTTCGGCTACCATGTCGAATGCTACTCAGTTTGCTGAATGGATTTGTAATATTCATAAGCAGCCTTGTCATGTGGTGTATACTGATTTTCGGCCTACCCCTTTGCAGCATTATATGTTCCCTGTGGGTGGTTCTGGATTGTATCTTGTGGTTGATGAGAATGAGCAGTTTAGGGAGGAAAATTTTGTTAAGATGCAGGATAGTCTTGCAAAACAGAAATCGGGGGAAAATAAGAGTACTGCAAATGCTGCTAAGGTTAGAGGTAGAATTGCTAGAGGTGGCTCTTCTTCTGGTGTATCGGATATCTGCAAAATTGTCAAGGTGTGTGTAGTCTGGTCTTTAGATCTTATGATATTCTCTTGTTTTTTGCTTTTATTTCTTTCTTTGTTCTATCAATTTTTTTTGATGATTTGTAGATTTCCCCACCATAACGGTGTTATTACAAAATTAAGCTTGTTTCATGAGTGAAGCTATGCTCTTCAGAGAAATTTGTGCTTCTAATGATGACATGCAAAATGGTCCAAATTCTTTTTATGTTAATTTCAAGGAGTTAGATTAATAATATCAGTATTATTGTATATTAGATGTTAAAATTAGTTATTTTAGTTGCAATTTGATTATCATAGTACTAAATTCATACATATGATATTTTTAAATTTTCTTTAGTGTGCTCCACTTCTCGCTTTTCCCTTCAAGCCTCATGGACCTTGTTGCTCTTTTGCGCTTATTGCACTGTGTCGTAATGCATTTCCCTTTATAGTTGCTTTAATCATTTACTATAACAATGTTGATGCCTCGTATCACTGAAGCAATTGATTCTTTCTCTGTTAGATGACCATGGAAAAGAAGTTTCAGCCAGTCATTGTGTTCAGTTTTAGTAGAAGAGAATGTGAACAACATGCAATGTCTATGCTCAAGCTTGATTTTAATACCGAAGAGGAGAAGGAAGTAGTGAATGAGGTTTTCCGTAATGCAATGGCTTGCTTGAGCGAGGAAGATAGAAACTTACCAGCTATTGCATTGATGTTGCCCCTACTTCAGCGTGGAATTGCTGTTCACCATTCTGGCCTGCTTCCTGTTATCAAGGAACTCGTGGAACTTCTCTTCCAAGAAGGACTCATAAAGGCTCTTTTTGCAACAGAGACAGTAATGACTTTTCTTTTAATATTTTGTGGCTCTTTTTATCTTGTGCAGTTAACACCCCTAATGATTTTTTCTTCTTTGTTGTTTTTCCTTCTAATGTTCTGATAGTTTGCAATGGGGCTAAACATGCCTGCAAAAACTGTTGTCTTTACCAATGTAAAGAAATGGGATGGTGATAGTCATCGTTACATTGGATCTGGTGAGTATATACAGGTGAGTCAGAATTGCCCATATAACATGACGTCATGACATAAGAGCCCATATAACATGCCTTAAAATCATTTTCATTCCGGTTCTTGATTCTTCATATTCTCCTCTCTTTATGTAGATGAGTGGAAGAGCAGGACGTCGTGGCAAAGATGACCGTGGTATTTGTATTATCATGATTGAAGAGCAGGTAAGTTGGTAGTAATATTCTCACTTGAAGAGTATCTTGTATATGACTTTTGTTGCCTTCTTGAAATGTATGTTTCTTGTTTGCCACTTAAGCATATGCAAACTATGTAGTTAAGTATGTCTAAGGTATCTTATGTATTCTTCTTAGCTGTTTAGATCGATGGCTTATGTAGTGTTTGATGATTTCAGATGGAGATGAATAGCCTCAAGGACATGGTATTGGGTAAACCAGCTCCATTAGTCAGCACATTTAGGCTGAGTTATTACACACTTTTGAATTTAATGAGTCATGCCCAAGGCCAATTTACTGCTGAGCATGTTATCAAAAACTCATTTCACCAGTTTCAGTATGAAAAGGTTGTCTCTTTGTCTAAGTCCATTTTCTCTTTGACTACGTTATATGTAATGACTGACAGTGAGGTTGTCTTTTTGTTAGGCGTTACCTGACATTGGAAAGAAGGTCTCTAAGCTGGAAGAAGAAGCTGAGATGCTTGATGCATCTGGGGAGGTCATAAAGTCGTTATCTTGGTATTTTACATATATATTCTTATGCCATATATCCTGAACTTGCTTCGCTTTACATGTAGGCTGAGGTTGCAGAATATCATAAACTAAAACTTGAGATAGCACAACGTGAAAAAAAACTTATGGCTGAAATAACACGGCCTGAAAGGGTTCTCCATTTTCTTCTTCCTGGTAGGCTGGTAAGTGGCGAGAGAAGCATCTCTATTCTCTGCTGCATTTTTGTGAGTGTATTGAGCTCTGATTAGTCTGTACATATGTTACATTACTCTGTTTTTGACCTCTTATATGATTTTGTTGCCATGTACCCAGAAATTTTCTTTTGACATTGCTCTGTGCCTCACCTCTATTTGTGAGTGCACATAAATCTATCTGTCACATCTTTGAAAGCTCACAACGATATAACTTTTAACTAATTACTGTTAATACCTAAACCTCGTTGTGAGGGTACTCTTATTCAATTTGAGATGAGTTGTAATCCTCTTCTATTACCTTCTGCAACTTAAACTTTAGATATTTCTTTTAGTTTCTTGCCCTCCTTTTTTTTTGGGTCAGTAATTTTTTGCTTTCTTTCTAACTTTACTATTGTGATTTTTTCTGATTGGGTCAGTTGCTATTGCTCCTTACCTATCAAAATAGATGGAGGATTCTATTTTCTCAAGATGCCATGTGATTGTTGAGTCTCCCACTTAGCCATTGCACTCATCATGGATCCCATGCGATGGGTGCTTGTTTGTGCTATAGATTGCTTTTGCAGTTTTTTTTTTTAGTATTTCCGCGCGAATATGATGTTACTCACCGTATTGGCGCGGGGTTGATGAAATGGAGGCTTGCATTTGGGTTTTTGTGTGATAAAAATGTGTCACCAAGACTTAAAAGGTAAATTCTACAGAGTGGTGGTTAGGCTGACTATGTTGTATGGGGCTGAGTGTTGGCCCGTCAAGAAGTTCCATGTCCTGAAGATGAAAGTAGTTGAAATGAGGATGTTGAGATAGATGTGTGGACATGCCAGGAAAGACAAGATTAGGAACAAAGTTATTAGGGACATGATGGGAGTGACCCCATTTGTGAGAATCGAGGCTGAGATGGTTCAGGCATGTGAGGAGGCGAGACATAGCTGCCTCGGTTAAAAGGTGTGAGAAGTTGACCATGGCGGGTCTGAGGAAGGGTAGGGGTAGGCCTAAGAAGTATTGGGGTGAGGTGATTAGGCAGGACATGTCACTGCTTCAGCTTACCGAGGACATGACCCTCGATAGGAAGGCGTGGAAACGAGTATTAGGGTTGAGGGTTGACAGATAGTCGCGAGTCTATCCTAGGCGGCTAGGCTTGTCGGTAAAACTAGTCCTATTGTTGTATTTGCTTATTCCTGGTTCGTTATTAGTACCTGTTATGTTATTTGCTTCCATTATCCTATTACCTTGTTGTTGCTATTGTTTGTTGATTTCGTTCACTGTTCCTTGAGCCGAGGGTCTACCGGACACAACCTCTCTATCTTCATAAGGATGGGGTAAGGTCTGCGTACACACTACCCTCCCCAGACCCCACTTGTGGGATTACACTGAGTTTTTTGTTGTTGTTGTTGTCGTCTATTTGTATTATCTGGAAATTCATTCACTTAATAACTTTTTGACTTTCCCCACTACACGGCTCATCTTAGTGTGTAGATCGCATTGGTGATTGCAGGTGAAGGTATGGGAAGGTGGAAAAGATTGGGGTTGGGGTGTTGTAGTCAATGTGGTGAAGAAGCCTCCAGCACCGTCAGGTTCTTTGCCTGCTGCACTCTCTGCTTCACGTGGCACTGGCTATATTGTTGATACCCTACTTCATTGCTCTCTTGCTTCTGGTGACAATGGTTCTCAACCCAAACCATGTCCTCCTCGTCCAGGGGAGAAGGGAGAAATGCATGTGGTGAGTACATAATTTTGTAATAATCATTCGTTTATTACAACTTAATTAGAATATAACTTTATTCCTGAGTATGTTTCCAAATTTTAGGTTCCCGTTCAATTACCCCTGATTTCTTCCCTCAGTAAGCTTAGAATATCTGTTCCTGCGGATCTTCGGCCACTGGAAGCAAGGCAAAGCATCCTGCTTGCTGTACAGGAGCTTCAGAAACGATTTCCTCATGGCCTCCCAAAGCTTAACCCTGTAAAGGTAGGAATTATATTACTGCCGGTTCCACATTGGATTGGAAATTTGCCATTTTTTATATGGAACTAGGCCATTTTTATTACGAAGCATATGTTAGTAAAAGCCAAAACTTAACACCTAATGTTGAGAGAAGATTGGAATCTTAATGGATGGTGTTCTTTTTGGTTCGTTGTTCTGATATATTTATCCGGTTGCGTGAAAATTCTGTCATGGGATATTGTCGGTCATGTTATCAGCCAGGGCTATTGGTCAAAAATAAAAAAAACAGTCACTTATAGGAAACTGGAGCCATGTGTAGTCCAGCAGTATTTTACTTGTTCCTTAACAAACAAAGGGAGCTATATGCATGTCGTGGTTGATGTGTACCCTATATGATTGTAGTCTAGGCTACCTTCTTAGGGACTTTTTTTTAATAGCTGATACACATTTCTCTAAAGTTAAAAAACGGAAAAAATAGAGGAAGAAAGAGCAGGAATGGTGATGTATCTTTAGTCAGCTGATTGTACTATTATTATCATGTTATCGTCATCCATTCTGTATTATAGCTCCATTTGTTGCCTAGTACCATTCTAGTGTTGACCTCCACTTATGGGATTACACTGGGTTGCTGTTGGTGTACCATTCTAGTGTCCTTCTAATTTCTATAGCTTGTTGAGAATAACCATTCGTACTTTCTTCGGCATTCATCTTATGCTGGTCAGGATTCTGAATTTATTATTCTTGTAATCTCACATGAGTTTAGTGTCATATCCAGCTATAATATTTTCTTCTGTTTGGGTCAAGTATAACGAAGGTTTGCTGGTTGTGAAATGAACATTACAAAAATGGAGTAGTATACTTCTTCAACTTCAACTACTGATCAAGATAAATTTGTTGCTACTTTTCCTGATTTCTACCATCGTAGGACATGGGTTTTGAAGATCCCGAATTCGTTGATATAGTGAACCAGATTGAAGAACTAGAGAAAAAATTGTTTGCTCACCCACTGCACAAGGTACATGAAGAAGTTTATTTTGAATAATCTGTTTAGTCTTGAGGATGCATGAAAAATTGAAACATTTGCTTTTATGCTTTTGATGATGGTTTAATTATTGCCGCTACTTCTACACATGATGTTGCACACATGGAGCAGTCACAAGATGAACATCAACTTAAGAGTTTCCAGAGAAAGGCAGAAGTGAACCATGAAATTCAACAACTCAAGTCAAAAATGCGTGATTCACAGGTAAATTTCTGTTGTGTCATGAATCATTCAATCAACTACTCCATCCCAAACTAGTTAGTGTTTGCTTCAAGAGTCTTCTATATCTATCCCACTCTATTCGGTTTTTTTTTTCTTTACTTTTGTTTGTTTCTTTTTTCTTATATTAATTTGTTAGGTCACTTTCTGATCTAACTTTTCTATTCAAGATTGGCTTTCTCTTTTCATCTAAAAGGTTTAGGATGTTATCTTCTGAACATTTTATATCTTGTCGCACATTTTTGCTCTCACTCTTCTCAAGTTTTCTTTTATACTATTATGATACTCTTTTTAGTTTCAAGATGGTATTTATATATCAAACCTCACTTACAGTGATCCTTGGAGTTTGCTGTTATCTTTTAGCACTTCACTGGATTTTGTCAATGTAATATGGCCAAATTTTCATGACATTTGCCATGACATAATATCCATTATAACAAATTTGTGGTTATGACATTTGCCATGATATAATATCCATTATAACAAATTTGTGGATCATGACATTTGCCATGACATAATATCCATTATTAGGCCAAGGATTTCTTGCTATAAATAGAGGAGTTTCTCATTTGTAAACACACCAATTCAAGAGCTTTTCACTCGTCTTTCTTTCTCCTCCTTTATTTCATTATAGAGTATTTTGTAAGAGAGTGAGTGTTGAGAAACACTTGTGTGAACCCTTTCTTTGGAGTGATCTTGTGAGGTTATTTTCTTGGGGTATTTGGGATTAATTAGAGTATTTACTCTAATTTTGTACTCTCTTTTGTACTCTTGTTGGTATAGTGAAATTGCTCCTCTCCGCTTGTGGACGTATGTCACCTTGACCGAACCACGTTAAATTTGTGTCTTATTTATATTCTTTAATTGCCGTATTATCAACTTCCATTGTCTTTGTTATAGTCATTATACCATTGTTTGGCTAAATTACGCACTATCCGGGTTCCCGATCCTAACAAATTGGTATCAGAGCCAGGTCTAACCGGGTTTGTTTCAGTAGCCAATATGACTCTAACAAAGTCTTATGTTGAGAAATTTGATCGAAGTGCAAACTTCGGAATGTGGCAATTAAAGATGGAAGCTATCCTAATTCAGGATGGCTTAGACTTGGCGTTGCAAGGAAAGGAGAAGATGCCGGATAAAATGACGGACGCGGAGTTTGCCGTCATAGACAAAAAGGCAAAAGCAGGTATTATTTTAAATCTTTCAAATGAGGTTTTGCGTGAAGTTGCAGCAGAAAGCTCAGCCAAAGGCATATGGGAAAAGCTTAAAACCTTATATATGAAAAGAACAGTAGAAAACAGGCTTTACCTAAAGCAAAAACTCTACACTTTTCGTATGGCTGAAGGTNTGTACTTTGAATTACATTTATTCAGATCTTTGGGGTCCTTCACGTACCCCATCAAAAGGTGGTGCCAGGTATA